GACACAGCTGCCTTTGAGGGAACCATGCTCCTGTAAGTAATCCCCAAGAAACACAATGGTTCCCTAAGTTAGACTTTGTTAGAGTCATTTCTTTGGCTTGTTGTCAGTCTCCTATCTGGGGTGAGTAGACTTTTGTTCATGTGTGCCCAAGAATACAAAATAATTGGCATCTGAATAAGGACTGACAGAACCAAAGATGAGCTAGGGAGGAGTAGTTGCATGGCCTCTGCAAATAGTATTGAGACATGCAAGCAAGGATGGTCTGCATGAGGTAGAGTGTCTGTGGGCACAATCACCCATGGTACCTTTCCCCATGTGATAAGAGGCGGCATGCCTCCTTGCTGTTCTGGTGAGATATGTGATAGGAAATGCAGTCAGCGCTGAGGCTGAGCTGTCCAAGAATGGGACATCTTTGGGAGGGTTGCACAAGGCAAGATTATTGACAAGATGTCATGGAAATTGTTGCCAGAGGCCAAGATGGCTTCCCAGAGAGAATTTGCTTATGTAAGGGAAGAATTACAGTAAGAAAAAAAAATGTGTAGATGTTTTGTGCTACATTAACTTCTGATTTGGAAAGGAAAATGGAAAAAAGAAGAATGCAATAGAGTTGGCTTGTCATTTGGAGTGTTGCAAAGGAAAGAAAAAACTGTTAGATCTGTATTAAAGAGTACTTACTAGGATTTAAAAACTTGGACCCTGTGGGAAGAGTCAAGTAGTGAGGATGAAGAGAGTGGGGCAAAAGTGGTACAAGCTACCCCTCAGGCTTGACTCTTTGAAAATCCCTGATAACAGCATGCAGATAGGGACCCTAATAAAGGTTTGGCTAGAAACGATGATAGTCAGGGAGTATTTTGTCTCTGGACTACTCGAGTTGGGAAGAACTTTTAAGCAAGAAGCAAAAGAGTCTCTGACAGCCTGGGTGTAGAACATGGGGGAGGATGGGATCAGTGTGAATGCAGTGGAAGCAGAAAAACAGAGTAATACAAGCCCTTGTCCCTCTTGTTCTAGTTAGAAATCAAGGTAGGAACCTGGAGGCAGAAACTGAAGCATGAACCATGGAGGAACGCTGCCTGCTGGCTTGTTCCCTTGGCCTGTGCTCAGCCATCTTTCTTATACAATCCAGGACTACCTGCCCAGGGTGGCACCACCCACAGTGGGCTGAGCCCTCCCACATCACTCAGCAATCAAGAATCAAGAAACTGCCTCACAGACATGCTCACAGGCCAGTCTGATGGAGGAAATTCCTCAGATGAGGTTCCTCTACCTAGGTGACACTACTTGTGACAAGCTGACAAGGTGACACTACTTGTGACAAGGTAACCAGCACACCTCTTAAAGACAAAGGCTGAATAATCTGAAGCAATGTGAGGGAAATCAGCCCCTGATGGTTGAGCCCTTGGGGGTACTTGGTTACTGTCTGTTGAGGTCCCCATGAGTATCAAGGACTAGAAGATAATAAAGGATCTGCATTGCTAAAGAGAATTGAACATGAGAGAGGTGGTGTTTGATGCCTAGTTCATGGTGTTAGATAGGGATGTGTTTACAGTAGTGTTAAGAAGGTTGATTCAATAGAAACCTCGAGGGTGGTATAGGTTTTTTAATTGGCTTACATAGTAAACTAAGTCTACCATGTGTTGTAGACTACAGATATATTTAAAATGTAGTCCTTGAAAAATCTAAAAATGAAAAAGCTAGACAAAAATCTACTATGCAAATGGCAGTCAGACAGAATTGTAAAATGGATACTAACATAGACTTTAAGTCCAAACAAAAGACACAAATTGAAAAATCTGAGCTATAAAATAGCCTTTGACCATGTGAAACAAATTCTAACATTACTCACGATAAATACAAATTAAAAGTATATTGAGAGACCACTTGTCATCCATCCTGCTAGCTCCAACAAAGTGTGCCCCTGTGTCCATCACCCTGTGCCATTCCCCATGTCAGTCCATGTCCCAGTGTAGCCCCCCCCCCCCCCACCCGGCCAGGTTGTGTACTAGTGTCCTCCAAATGGAAACATTTCCATCATGGAGGGAGGCTTTTTTTTTGGTCTTTTTGAGACAGGGTCTCCCTGTAGCCCCAGCTGTCCTGAACTCACTATGTAGATGAGGCTGGCCTTGAACTCACAAAGATCTGCCTGCCTCTGCCTTCCATGTGCTGGGATTAAAGGTGTGCACCACCAGGCCTGGCCTGAGGGAGGCTTTTTAAGAGTCAAGAAGTAAAAAACTACAAGTCTCAGGAAGTTCATGAAACTGACAAGATTTACAAGGTGTGCTCCCTCCCCAAGGTTATATAAGCAGTAGGGACTGCTGGGGACAGAGGAAATTCTGCAGAGCTCTAGGGTTTAGGCTTTCCCAGACTGAGGTGGGCTTATCAGGGATGCAGGTATTCCTGTAAGTAACCGCTTCCCAAGCTCCTGCAAATAATTCAAATAAACTTCTTGGTTTTCCAAGTCGGACTTCGATAGGATTGTTTCTTTGGTCTATTGTTGGCGATCCATCTGGGGTGAGTAGACATTTGTTCGTTTCCCCAGAAAAGGCTGTATAATACTCCTAAATCTAATCTCTTCAAAATAATCAAAGCTAAAACTTGTGGCTACTACAACTGAAGGCTGGGCTGGAATAATTAGCACACAGAACCATGAAGCTTCATGGGAATGAGGTTTTCACTTCATTGGTGTCATTAGAAATGCAGTTACATTAGGGTTGCCCACCCTCTGTTACTTTTCACTAGGTCAGGCAAAATGGAATTGTAGTTTTTACATACAATCTGTTTAGTGCATCATCAAATAGCAGTCATGCCTAATTGCCCTTAAGAGGGTAAGAGAGATGACTAGTTTCTCATGAAAACAGGTTACACTTGGGCATCAGCTGAGTTTGTTTATACTGTAATGGCATAATGAAAAAAAAGATTTTCTTTTTTAGTGCTTTAAAGAATTGCAATCTAAAGATAAAATGTGCTTGACTGATAATGCTTTCTTGAGACATGACAACAAAGAAGGAACCATATTCTCTCTGACCTTTGGAAGAGCAGTGACTTCATGTTGAAACTCTCAGTCTCAATGATGGTATGCAAAAGTAAGACCTTTCAGAGGTTATTAGAATTTAGATTAGGCCCAGAAGAGTGGAGGTCTTAGGGTGGGGTTAGCACCCAAGGATGATGAAAGGACCAGCACCTCTTCTCTCCACCATATGTGAAGACGAGGAGGCAACTAGTTGCAATCATGAAAAAGGTCCTTCTAGAACCATACTGACACCCTAATCTTGTTTCTGGATGGTAGGATTGTAGAAATTGTGTGCTTTAAGCTATCTATCTGTGGTTTTATGTTTTTGTTATAGTAGCTGAACTAAACTAAATAGGCCTCCTCAATTAAAGATGATGTATTTAGGGGCTGGAGAGATGGCTCAGCAGTTAAGGGCACTGGCTGCTCTTATATAGGACTGGAGTTCAGTTCCCAGCACCCACACTGCTGCTAAAAAAAAAATCTGTAATTATAGTACCAAGGGATCCGATGACCTCTTCTGAACTCCATGAGCACTGCATGACATGGATGCACTTACATACATGCAGGTAATATGTTCATACACATAAAAATAATATTTTAAAATTATATATATATATATCATTAAAATAGGGCCAACAAGATGGCTCAGTGACTAAACGAACTTGCTGCCAAGTTTGCTGAACTGATTCTGATCCCCAGAACCCACATGGTGGAAGAAGAGAACAGACTCCTATACGTTGTTCTCTGACCGTCACCAATATGCTGCAGTATGCATCAACCCCCAGCACACAAAGTAAATGAATAAATGTAAATTTTAAACTTCAAGTCGGTAGTCTTAAATGAGGGCAACTTTGCTCTCATAGGGGCATTTGGCAGCATCTGGAGATGCTTCTTCTAGGGTTTCTTTTGGTGTTTGAGAGTGTCCTAAGGACACACTTTCATTGTTTTGCTTTTGAGACAGGGTCTCACTCTGTGTAGTACAGACAAGCCTTGAACTTGTGATCCTTGGTCTCTGGCCACCCTCCTGATTGACGGTATTAAACATGCGTAAGACAACATCTGTCCAGCTCAGGAGACATTTTTGACTGGAAGTAGGTAGATGCTGGTGATTATCCTCCATGACAAGAATGGTTTCAGTAGTGGTGAGGTTAAGATCTTGCTATACAGTTAACTCTCAGCTGGACTTAAGTTTTATTTCCAGGGGCTGAGGATGTAGCTCAGTTGGAAGAGAGCTTGCCGAGCATGTAGGAAGCTCTGGATTCAATCTCCAGCACCCCATAACTGGGCATGGTGGTGTATGACTTCAGTTGCAGCATTTGGGACATACAGGCAGGAGGATCAGGAGTTTAAGGGCATCCTCAACTACCTAGGGAGTTTGAGGCTAGCCTGGGATATCTGAAATCCTGTCTCAAAAAAAAAAAAAAATTCCTCAAACCTTTGTCTCTCATTTTTCATTTGGGACCAAGATAGGGCAGCACAGTATTTTAAAACAATACAAACTGTCAATTAGGCCTATGACAGTTTTTACTAGCACTAAGAGCTATATATTGGCCACAAATTCCTACTCAGGCTTGCAACTAAGACATTAGGGGTGAATGTCCAAGGTGCGATCGTTTCTCACTAGTCAAAATTGTTACCATAGATTCACAGCAGCACAATGGTGCTCCTCCAAGAATGTGTTTATTTACACAAAACACCATTATATACAAATTGGAGAAGTCTTAAAGGAGGATCTGCCTAGGAACATCCTCTCCATTTCCTTTTTTCTTTCCCCTGTGTGGCTGCCACAATCCGACAAGCAAGGAAACTTTCTTCTTGTATCTGTAATGGATCCATTTCCTTCTTTAACGCCTGCTTTCATTTTCTTTCAATATCACAACATAAAATGTTTTAGACTGGATAAATGCAATCAAATCCACCTCTACCTCACACCCCAAATTATTTTCACTATTCAATGTCCACAATCATCCTTGAAAGAAAAGTCTTGCCAGGGTTATTTTATTTAATTTATTTATGTAATACAGTATATAAAGCTACCATGGCATAAGCAATGATTCTGTACAATCATCCTGCAGAAAATTGTTTTTGGAGAATTCTTGGTAACTTGAGACCAGCAGAGC